AAAGAAAGAAAAACAGGCTTTTCCTCCAATCTCTCTATTATTGCCATTTTGCAGATGCAGCAGCTAATAAGTTTCCAGATAGAAGAGAGATTTTTAAGTAGATAAAATTTCCTTTAAAAAAATGGTTTGGACAGGTAGTTGTAGAAAACTAGGTTGTTGAAAATAATTATCTGAGGTTTGCATTGTAAGATGTTCATTCTTTTACAGGAGATGCCTCTGCTACACCATCTGCATCTGCTACTACAGGTAAGAGGTTCAATGGAATGGAAGTGACATCATACATACAAAAACTGTGTTGCAAAGTCAAGCACTGAAAGGTTAGGAAATGCCAGGATTAAGGCTGTCTGTGTTATAGGGTTGCCAACTTTCTAATTGCACAAAACCAAAAACCTCTGCCCCCACTGACTCCATCCCCCTCCCTCCATCGCTCACTCTCCCACACCCTCCATAACTTTCATTGGGCTGGGGTAGGAGGTTGGGGTGCGGAAGGGGGTGCAGACTCCGGGAGGGGGCTCAGGGCTGGGATAGAGGATTGGGATACGGGCTCTGAGAGGGAGGGATGCAGAAGGGGTTTCCAACCTCAGGCAGCGGGTTGGGGTGCGGGAGGGCATTCTGACCTGGGGCAGGAGGTTCAGGGTGCAGGCTCCAACCGGGCGGTGCTTCCCTTGGGCAGCTCTCACTCGGCGGCGCAGGGGGGCTAATGCAGGCTTTCTGTGGCTCCCAGAAGTGGCCGGCATGTCCGACTCCTAGATGGAGGAGCCAGGATGCTCTGTGCCTTGCCGATGTCCACGGAGCTGCCCCGCCGCTCCCATTAGCCACGGTTCCCGGCCACTGGGAGCTGTGGATCCGGCACTGGGGACGGGGGCAGAGCACGGAGCTTCTCTGATCGCCCCTCCACCTAGAGGCCGCAGGGACATGCCGGCCACTTCCAGGAACTGCGCGGAGCCAGGGAGCCTGTCTTAGCCCCACTGCACCACCAACCAGAATTTTAACGGCCCGGTCTGCAGTGGTGACCGGACCTGCCAGGATTCCTTTTCGACTAGGCATTCTGGTTGAAAATCGGACACATGGCAACACTCCTGTGCAACCTTAATTCAGCCCTCTTGTGTGTGTGCATGATGAGACAGCCCTTAAGTACATGATAAGTTTGTGAAGCACTCAGACACTGTCATGATGTGCCCCCTTTTCTGCCCAGTTATTCCCAATCCCATTCACCTCCAACTCCTTGTGTGATCTTTCTCTCTTCCTCCTTCCCACCTCCCAGTCCGCCACAGCCTGTCCTCTCTCCCTCCCCTCTGCCCCCATCTATATTCCCCATTCCTTCTGGATTCCAATCCCAGCATCCTTGCCTGGAGTCCTTGTCCAATCACCACCCCAGGCCTCCAGCCCTTTGTCCCAGTCCTTTTATCCTGCCAGTCCCAGTTTTGTCCTAGACCCTGGCTCCCCTCCCCAGGAATTCAGCCCGAGGCAATTATCCAGATCTGATGTCAATATATGTTTAATAGAATGTCATAGTGTGGCTTGCATTTAAAGATTTGTTTCTTCTCTTACAGTAAATGCCACTACCCAAATACTCACAACTTCGACAGGTAAGCGGTTGGAATGGAACTGATTGACAAGTATGAAACTTAAAATCACCATCAAAAATATTTTGCTATAGAAAATAATTGTAAATCATGAATAAGACTGACAATGATTTAATTGTGTGGAACTAACAGAGTAGCTGATGTTATTAAAGGGATACTGTCAATTTGAACTTTTGTCAGTTTAAAAAAAGTTGTTTAAAAGAAGCTTCAGGTCCTCTCTTTCCATCACCCTCTAGCAGTGGGACACCCCTACACAGAATTGCCTGCCTCTACAGGGAAAACACTGACACAGACTAGTCACAAAGTGTTGTCAAATGAAAAAGGAAACAAACTGACTAAAGAAAGAAAAACAGGTTTTTCCTCCAATCTCTCTGTTATTGCCATTTTGCAGATGCAGCAGCTAATAAGTTTCCAGATAGAAGAGAGATTTTTAAGTAGATAAAATTTCCTTTAAAAAAAATGGTTTGGACAGGTAGTTGTAGAAAACTAGGTTGTTGAAAATAATTATCTGAGGTTTGCATTGTAAGATGTTCATTCTTTTATAGGAGATGCCTCTGCTACACCATCTGCATCTGCTACTACAGGTAAGAGGTTCAATGGAATGGAAGTGACATCATACATACAAAAACTGTGTTGCAAAGTCAAGCACTGAAAGGTTAGGAAATGCCAGGATTAAGGCTGTCTGTGTTATAGGGTTGCCAACTTTTTAATTGCACAAAACCAAAAACCTCTGCCCCCACTGACTCCATCCCCCTCCCTCCGTCGCTCACTCTCCCACACCCTCCATAACTTTCATTGGGCTGGGGTAGGGGGTTGGGGTGCGGGAGGGGGTGCAGACTCCGGGAGGGGGCTCAGGGCTGGGATAGAGGATTGGGGTACGGGCTCTGAGAGGAGGGATGCAGAAGGGGGTTCCAACCTCAGGCAGCGGGTTGGGGTGCGGGAGGGCATTCTGACCTGGGGCATTGCCTGGCTCTACGGGGAAAACACTGACACAGACTAGTCACAAAGTGTTGTCAAATGAAAAAGGAAACAAACCGTCTAAAGAAAGAAAAACAGGTTTTTCCTCCAATCTCTCTCAGTTATTGCCATCTTGTAGCTACTGCAGCTTACAAGTTTATGATGTGGCCCTCTTGTGCATATGCATTACAATACAGTCTTTGTTACATGATCACTAATATTTTTTCCATAAGACCTTGGCCTCACATTCGCAGAGTGGGTCCATCACGTGCACTTAGTATCAAGACTGTGTAGTGAATGAGACTGTTATCTGTAGGACCCACATTTGTTTACAGGCCTCTTTGGGCCTCATTAGAAAGGATGGTCATGTGGTTAAAATGGTTGAATTAGCCTCCTGGAGAATTGAATTCTATCCCTGCCTCTACCACAGAGTTCTTATGTGATGCTGGTCAAGTCCCTTAAACCAAAATTTTTTTACTGGTGTCTGCTAATTGTGTGTGCCTTATTTTATAGGTCACATTTGCAGTAATGCACACCTCTGCTGGATCCCGGGGGCGCTCACCTCGGGCAGCTCCCTGCAAGCGGCGACCTGTCCCAGCTGCTCCTAGGTGGAGGCATGGCAGGCAGCTCTGCGCACTGCCTCCGCCCGCTGGCGCCGCTCTCACAGCTCCCAATGGCTTCAGTTCCTGGCCAATGAGCGCTGCAGAGCCAGCACTTGGGGTGGGGTGGTGGCAGTGCGCAGAGCCGTCCCCCCCCAACCCTGCACTTCCTCCCAGAACCTGCACCCCACACCCTATCCTACGCCCCAACCTCCAGCCCCGCACCCCTCCTGCGCCCAAACTCCCTCCCTCTTAGTTAACCGGCATTTTTCATATACCAGCACCCCCTATTCCCCCAACATGCTGGATAAAACAGCTTTTACTGTGTGTATGTACACACACACACACACACACACATTATGAAGAGTCCACACAGTAGATAGTGAATTTTAACATTAGTCCTGGATTTAATTCATGCTGACCAATGGTTTTGGTAATCCATGTCTAAAATATGGTTATTTGATTCGCACGCTACCAGTGGTAACATTAACATAACAAACCGACAAGGACATCACATCCCCAGTTGCTAAAAAGTTAGAACTCCCAAGAGCAGGGGTGAAAGTGAGCTGGTACAGGCCGGTACTCCGTACCGGTAAGAACCCGCACTGGCCCATACCCAGCCCACATTAAAGCGCTTTAATGTCCCTGCCCCTTTTGTCTCCCCTGTCAGCAGCTCTGCCGGTATGGACCCTACCGGCAGGGCTACCGACGGGGAGAAGGGGCACCGACGTTAAAGCGATGGTCCTTTGCTGCGGCAGCGCTTTAAGGGTGGTTCTTTGCTGCAGCAGTGCTTTAAGAATTCATTAAAGCGCTTTAATGTCGGTGCCCCTTCTCCCCGTCGGCAGCCCTGCCGGTAGGGTCCGTACCGGCAGGGCCGCCGACGAGGGGCGGGAAACGGGTAGCAACGTTAAAGCGCTGTGGCAGTGCTTTAAGGATGGTCCTTTGCTGACGGCTGGGGGGTGCGCAAAGAGAGCAGCTGCCCTGGGGCCGGCGATTTAAAAGGGCCCGGGGCTCCGGACACTGCTGCCGCTACCACAGCAGTGGTATCCGGAGTTCCAGGCCCTTTAAATCAGCACGGGAGCCCCAGGCGGCATGGGCCAAGGGCTGGCTGGGGAATGCTAATTGTGGATAAGAAACAATAGTGCCAGTAATGTAACTGTGCTAAGATAATACCAATAGCTGGTGATATTAGAAGGGTATTGGTTACATAACGGATCGTCAATTTCAAATATACATTTAAAATAGTTTCAAGTACGCTTGCCCCTGAATCCCCTGACAGTTTTTATGGTTTTACAATCACATTTTCCTAGATCTTTTCTCTCCCCCATTGCTGTGAAAGACTCACACAAAAACAAAGAGGGGAAACTGATGCATTTATACCGGCGAAACAGTGAAAATGACTGTATACAAAGTGCAGTCCCAAGTGAACAAACAAACCAAAACAAGAACTGAAGAAAAACTTATATTTCCCCCTCTGATCATCATCATCATCAGCGTAAGTGCAGTGTGCCCAGCCAGTTGATACCATTGTCATCAGCCTGGTGAAGAGCCAGTAGCCCCCGTTGAAGTAAGTCAGCAGGCAATCGTCAAGGATATGCGACATAGTCTGAAGTTGACCACATCTACATAGTGGGTCATTAGAAAAACCCCATTTAAAGAGATTGGCTACACAATTGCCCTGTCCTGTTTGGAACCAGTTCAAGGATGACCACAGGTGCCATGGCAAGTGAAAACCTGGTGGACGGATGGTTCAGTTGGTGATGAGAACGTGATTGACGGTGGTTGTTGCTGATGACTCATCACACCAAGCGAATTCCATCCTCATACGGCATAAGAGACCATAAAGGGCATCTAGAAGACAGGCGAACTGGAGCGTGGTTGAAGAGGCCTGAGTACAATGGCAAGTTGCTGTTCTCATGGATCTTAGCCAGGAACATGAGTAGGGTGACCAGATGTCCTGATTTTATTGGGACAGTCCCGATTTTGGGGGCTTTTTCTTATATAGGCACCAATTACCACCCACCACCGTCCCAAATTTTCACACTTGCTATCTGGTCACCCTAAGCATGATGGAAGCCCCCTCACAGCAAATGTGCTTTGTTACTAAGTATTGGCAGCCACAGCAACGGAGTTGCACATAAAATGCCGGTAACAATGTGCATAGCTTTGTTAAGCTCTACATCAACCAGCCTCGTGTGAGACGAGCAACACCAGACAGGAGCGCATTACTCTGCTGTTGAATCGCAGAGGGCAAGGACTGAGGTTCTAAGTATCTGGGCGCTTGCACCCCAGGTTGAGCTGGCCAGTTTTCTGAGCAAGTTGTTCTAACGACTAACTTTGGCTGCTGTCTTCCAGTGTTGCAGTACGTCAGTGATCTATCCAATATGACGCCCAGGTAAACCGGGTTTGAGTAGTGCTGCAGGCGTTGGCCGTTTAAAAAAGTATTTAACTCATGGCTTGGACTTGCATTATGCAGATGAAATATGATAGAAACCATCTTGGGAAAGCTTGGCTGCAGGAGCCATGTACTACAATAGTCTGCCGTGAGCTTCATATCATTCCGAACTTGGTCAGTTTCTGAGAAGGACTGAGCTCGATAGCTGCCGCAGATGTTCTCGGCATAGATAAGCTTGCGCGAGAGTGTTGCTGGCAAGTCATTGATAAACACATTGAACAGTATTGGTGAAAGAACTGAACCTTGAGGACTGTTAATCTGACATTTCCAGGATCTGCAACAGTTGCCCATATGTCCTCTGAACTGCTGATTTTGGAGGAAGAGCTCTAAAACTTCAACCACCCAAAGCAGGGCAACTCGAAAGAGTTTACACAGAAGGCCTCTGCGCCAAACCGTGTCATAAGCGGTGGTCAAATCCAGGAAGACTGTTCCTGTCTTTAGTTTTTGTTGAAAACCATTTTTGATCAAGTTGGTCAAGGCCAAGACTTGATCACAGGTACTATGGCCTTTCCTGAACCCAGCCTGCTCAACCTGCAAGACAGCGTCTATCTATGGAGTGATTCATTGGAGGATCAAACACTGGATCAGCGTTCTTGTCGCACTCCCCATCAGTACCCGGCCCAGGCTGGGAAAGCTAACGATCCAACCATCAGACCAAATTCAGTAACAAGTCTTGATCACATGCCATCTGACTCTGATCCCAATGTATCCTCTTCTGGTCACTTTCAGAAACAATCAAGTTAGCATTCCATGTAACAATAGTAAGAGGGTGGGGGTGGGGAGTAAGACACCAATATTATTTTTAAATGTACAATGTCTCTTTAAAATTCCAAATTGCTGGTTGGTGGCTATCAGATGGAATTTGTATCTTTAGAGATTTTTTTTCCTTTTTTCCTCTTTCAGCAAATATCACTTGACACCTTCAAATTCAACAGTTGGAGAGAATATAATATATACTTTAAAAAGTATATTAATTTGTAGTGTCCATGGTAGAATTTGTAATGTTCATGTAGCATTTGGATAATTTTATTTTATATTCCAACCTCACTTTTAACACCCATTCCCACTGGAGTTTTGCCTTCGACTTTTGGGGTTGCCTACAAAGGGAAGCTTAATTTGGATTAAGTCAGGCGATGAATTTAAGGCAGAATATCTGTTTCTAATGAACTCCATGTGTGGCTGCTCTTATTCTGAATTAGCTTAATCCGCTTGGGAAATGGATTAAGCTTTCCAAGTGGACTAAGTTTATTCAGAATAAAACATTCTTTTTCTGGAAGCTAATCAGGGATGGCTATTTCAGAATAACTCCCTGTGTAGTCAAGGCCTTCAATGCCAGCAAAATCAAGCCTTAAATCAGCATATATTTGCCAGACTGTTCTAGTGGGATTTGCATTTTAAGATTGATTTAATCACTTTTCTACATCATTGTACCATACCTTCCCCTCCTGTGCCAGATAGAAAGAAATGGAAGGAGTAAGGGCCAGATTATCAAAGGTATTTGGGTACCTAAAGATGCAAATAGGCCTTAGTGGGGTTTTCAGGTTTGTAGAGCCTAAATCCCATTGAAATAAAAGCATTTTTAAAAATCCCATCAGGTGTCTATAGGCAGCTAAACTCTTTGTAAATCGGAGCAGAGAGTTTACTTGGTGCCTAGACTACATACTGATGCCCTGTACAGGGGTGAATTCATCCTTGGTGCTGACAGTCTAGTTTTGTTCCCACCAATTAACCCTGGTGGTTTCATATTCAGCCTATATGGAATTAAACTTATTTTCTGTGGTAACATTTGAAACAGTGATGTGACCAGTGGACAAGGACAGCACATCTCCCAGTTGCTAAGGAGTTAAAATTGCCATGTCATCTATTTGCTTTTGCAAAGTTCAGACCCGATGGCGTTTATACATTTACCATTTCCTTGTATTCTAAGATTTTGTTTCCTTTTTCCATAGGAACTCACTCTTCCACAGCTCCCCCAGTGACAACAAGTAAGCATGGAGAAATGGGAGGGATTGATCACTTAGGGGAGTAAAAGCACCTGACCCAAACAAGATGCTGTGGGGAAATAATTAGAATTAATAAATAATGATAATATAATTCTGAGCAGCCAGTTCAGTAGCTGGTGATATTAAAGGGACACTGCTAACTGGGAAGTTAGTAATTTACAAAAAGGAATTCAAAGTCGTTTCAAGTCCTACACCAGACCCTAAGCTCCTCAGCCAAATTCTGGGGTTTTACAATTACATTTTCCTCTCCCTCATTGCCATGTGAGACCCACACAACCAAGAGAGGAAGCAGTGAAACTGACTATGCACAAAGTGTTCCTCTCTCCCTTTGCCCTGGAGAAGACCAACACAGACAATACAGGAAACCAATGAAGGCCCTGCAAAGACTTACGCACTTGCTTAACTTGAATCATGTAACTAGTCCCATTGCATTTATTTGGGACTATTCATATACTTAAAGTGAAGCAAGTGCATAACCTTTGCAGGATCTGGGCCTGGTTGGCTATACTGGGCAACAGGTGACACTTACCTGACATAAAGAAAACAAATATCTTCCAAACCAGTAAAACTTTAAATTGCTCCCATACTCTACCATGTATACTTGATTATTCCTTCCCGCTCCCCCAAAAATATAATAGACTAAACCCCCATTGGTGTGATTTGGTGTCACTCTCACAATGGAGTTACACTGACTTACTCCAAGGATCAATTTAATCCAATATGTAAATGTGTACTGTTGGGTAAATGTCACATATTAGCACGTTGAAGGTTTACAGCAAATGGACAAGTACCTCAGAACTCCCAGCAAGTTGAAATATAATAGACTGTGGGCCCAAAACTTGGTGCACAAATGCATGGGAATTCAATGACACGTAATGGCAGGATCAGGTCCTGTGTCTATATAAATTTACCAGAATGTTGCAGTGGTGTTTGCATTTTAAGAATTGTTCAATCTTTTTCAGAACTACCCGTTACGACAGCACCCCCAGCTACAACAGGTAAGGAGGGTACCAAGAGGAATGGGATACATGTGAGGTTAGCAGTAAAGCTGCAAAGATACTTGCTCTCCCCTTATTCTAGCAAAACTCCTATAAGTTTCAATGGGAGTTTTGCTAGTGTAAAGACTGGATGGGTTTGGGAGCTTTATCTTTCACGAGTGAATGAAAAAGAACTATTTTCACTCTGAGCAAATATATGTCTTTCTAACAAATGCCTTAGACCATCAGAAGGCATTAAGGGCTCATTCCTTCAAGTTGCTGAGCATTCTGGCCCCAGTCCAGCAAATCACTTCTCCGTGTGCTTGAAGTTTATGCATGTGTTTATATGTTTTGCTGCATCAGAGCTGAGTGGTCTGCACCTGTAAGGATCTAACCTATAGCAATTAGGATTGAGACAAATAAAGACTTTGAGATTATCTTGTGATCTCCAAATACACCCCTAGCATGTCTGAATTTGGAGATCACTAGATAATATTCTACTACCAATTATATACCATGTTACATGTTCAGAGCTCGAGATGTACATCAGGTAACTGATATATCTGTGATGTGGTCTTATTATACAGTTGGTTCTCTTATCCACATTGTACTGATAGTGAAAGTGAGACATGAAAGAGGCTTGTTTTCCACGAGAAGTTTTTGCATCATTTGTCTAGGGCCAGTGCAGCTCCACGAGTGCTAGCAACAGTAGAAGCACTAGGATAAGACAGTGAAATGATAGTAAAATGTCTGTTCCGGTGCTGGATGCACAATGTAAAAAATCCTACGGTACGTACAGCCAATGAGAATAAATAATTTTTCCCAGGGCAACTCATGAGTCCTTTTTGGCCTTGTTTGCTTAGAGGAAAACTTTCAGGTTTAGAGTTGATTGCATATCATGAGTCATCTGTGGCCTCCCTGTTGCATGCTGGGCCAGATCCTCAGCTGCTGTAAACAGGCATAGCTCCATGGAAGTCAATGGGGTGGAGAGAGAGCTCAGTGGTTTGAGCATTGGCCTGCTAAATCCAAGGTTGTGAGTTCACTCCTTGAGGGGGCCACTTAGGGGTTTGGGGCAAAATCAGTAGTGAAGGCAGGGGACTGGACTGGACTTGATAACCTCTTGGGGTCCTTTCCAGCTCTATGAGATAGGTAATATCTCCATATATATATATTCTACACCATCTGAGGATTTGGCTTACCGTCATACAGAATGTTTAAGTGTTTGAATCTTCTTGAGGCATGAATAGTTTAATAGGAGGAAAACTAAAAGTTTCCATCCTCCTGGTCTAGTGCATTGTTCAGCTGTGTCAATATCTTTCCTCTTAGAAGCACCTCTGCCCTGTGCAAATAAACCATGTCGTAGCAGTGCTAAGTGTATTAACCTACATCCAGGTTATACGTGCGAGTGCCTGGACGAATACTACTACACAACATTAGGATGTCAGGAAGGTGAGTTGGGGGTGATCCGTTTTCTGAATCCACTGCACAGACAGTGGTGCATTTTCTATACTCATTCTAATTTTCTCAGTGAAAATGTACATGGTCTGGGCAAGTCTCCTCCACTCTGACCCACGCTGAGTAGTACTTTACTCTGCAACTAGTTCCCATTGGGTTGACCTATTTTATCTCCTGAAACATTATTGAAACACAAGGATTAAACACACTAGAAAAAATTGCACTCCCACAGCGCTAAGGGTGTGGATTAAATTGTGTGAAAAGCAGACAGAATTCCTGGGGTAAGTAGAAGCTAATATTTATGGCCAAGGTTGTAAAAAAGCAGGTGCCCAAAATAGGCTTCCAAAAAAATGGCCTGATTTTCCCAACTGGGTGAGCACCCACCGAGTCCTGTGGAAGTGGGACTGCATAGGAGCTGCTAGGTGCTCAGCATTTGGGGAAATTAGGCCTCTTAGGTGCCTAAGGGCCAGCTTTTCAAAGTTATTTAGGTGTCTAGAGGTGCAGATTGGCACCAAGCAGGTTAGGCACCTAACACCCATGAGTTCAATCATTAGACACCTTTGGGCACCTCTGTACCTTTGAAAATCTGTCCCAAAATCCATATGTCATAGAATCATAGGACTGGAGGGGACCTCAAGAGGTCATCTAATCCAGTGCCCTGCACTCATGGCAGGACTAAGTATTATCTAGACCATCCCTGACAGGTGTTTGTCTAACCTGCTCTTGAAAATTTCCAATGATGGAGATTCCACAACCTTCCTAGGCAATTTATTCCAGTGCTTAACCACCCTGACAGTTGGAAAGTTTTTCCTAATGTCCAAACTAAACCTACCCTGCTGCAAATTAAGCCCATTGCTTCGTGTCCTATCCTCGGAGGATAAGGTTAATTTTTCTCCCTCCTCCTTGTAACAACCTTTTATGTACTTGAAAAATGTCCCCTCTGAGTCTTCTCTTCCCTCTCTGTCCTCTCTTCTCCAGATTAAACAAACCCAGTTTTTTTCAATCTTCCCTCATAGGTCATGTTTTCTAGACCGTTAATCATTTTTGTTGCTCTTCTCTGGACTTTCTCCAATTTGTCCACATCTTTCCTGAAATGTGGTGCCCAGAATTGGACACAATACTCCAGCTGAGGAGTAATCAGCACGGAGTAGAGCGGAAGAATGACTTCTTGTGTCTTGCTTACAACACTCCTGCTAATACATCCCAGAAGGATGTTTGCTTTTTTGGCAACAGTGTTACACTGTTCACTCATATTTAGCTTTTGATCCACTATCCAGATCATTTTGCATTTTAATCCTATCCTCCAAAGCATTTTCAACCATTCCCAGCTTGGTATCCTCTGCAAACTTTATAAGTGTACTCTCTGTGCCATTATCTAATTCATTGATGAAAATATTGAATAGAACCGGACCCAGAACTGATCCCTGGGGGATCCCATGTCGACACCTAGGCACCCATTTATGAAAATCTTGGCTTATGCCATTAAATGCTATAATACTTAGACATATCCTGATTTTGTTTGCATTTAGCCATACTCATAGTTTAACATTATTTTGGTAGAAGAACTACATCAGTTTTTCTTCCCTCCGTGCCCACTGATAGCAGGGTTTAGCCCTTTGTTGATAAGGGTTGGTTAAATGAATACTTATCCCTTCCTGTCTCCTCCAATAGAAGAAAATTAGCAAATATGGATCCTATGTAGAGCTGCTTCCTATCTCTAAAACATGGATAACCCAACATTGTAACCCTGTTTATTACAAATGCAGTGTAATGAATTAATGTCTCTGATTTATTTTTAGGGAAAGTATTCCCTGGACAGTTTACACTGAAAATAACGTATACCGACAGCATGGCAAATGAAAACACTCCGGAGTATGGGGATTTATACAGAAATATCACAGATTTTGTGAGTCATTTAAAATTTTTTTTCCATATATATTTAATCTTGAGATTCTGCTTCCTGGAATGAGATATGTGCAGGAAGATATGGGGCCTCAAAGTGGAGTCTCGATCAGCGTAACTAACACCTTCCCGTATCTCTGTCACGGGATATGCTACGTAAGTCTAGACTCCTTTACATGACAGCCAAATTCTACCCTCAGATATGTACACACATCATTCCTACTGAAGTCAGTGGAAGTTGCACGTACGTGTCGGAGATCAGAATTTGCCCTAATTTGCTTACTCGCTTCCGTTATGAAAAAGTCCCATAGAATGTAAAACAAACAGACCCTCTGACAGAGTGCTGTCCCTTTAAGAGCAAGGCAGGTTGGAAACCCTCTCCAAGGTATTAAATAAGAGTTGGTGCAGGTAATGCAGTCTGGGGGCAGGCGGTGGTGCAGAAAGGGCCTAGAGGCGGATAAGAAACTGAGTTTGGCAGTATAGGTTGTGCCTGAAGTATTGTTCCCTTTCTTTCATAGATAAGAAACCAAGATTTGGCCTTGTATACTAGAGCTGGCCAACAAATGGGATTTCTGTCCCACAGGGAATTCCAAGTGTGCAAGATTTTGTTTTGTTCCAAATCGGATCAAAACGTCGAACTTCAGAATTTCCCATGAAAGGGAAAATTCCCATTTGGGAACATATCAATGCTGCTGGCATCTGTCCCCTTGCACTGCTCCTTCCTCCTGGCTGACTTAAGGTGGCAGAGAGGGGGAGGGAGAAACCCCCAGACTGGCGACAGGAGGAAGTCTGAGGTGGAGAGGGAACCCCCCTGGCTGATAGAAGGGAAAAATCCACCACCACCTCCATTTTTTTCCATTGCAACTTTTATAGAAATCGACATATTCCTGCAAAACATTTAAAATTTTTGACAAAATAGCATTTTCTGCTGGAAAACTGTTCAACTGGAAATTTTCTGACCAGCTCTATTGTATACCTCAAATCTGTACAATTTTAAAGCTCTGGGAACCTGTATCCTAGGGCTGCTGTATCTGCACCCTTTTTAAAATTCAAATGTTTCTACAAGGAGGGTGGACGAATACATATTTATTTTCTTATTACAAATTCTGTACTTTTTGTGAAGCCTCATGCCTTGATTGGAATAACATGTACATCATAGTAAACATGATCCTACTCAGTGATAACTATTTGAATATCTGAAGAAGTGAGGTTTTTACCCACGAAAGCTTATGCTCCAATACTTCTGTTAGTCTTAAAGGTGCCACAGGACCCTCTGTTGCTTTTTATTTGAACATCATCAGCAGGTTTGAAACAGTAATTCTCATTCATAAGAGTAAAAGTGGGTTACAGTTTTATACAGGAAAAAGTATTCCTACCATATGACCATAAGTAAAGGCCAACATTTTCAGACATTGGTGCTTAAAGTTTAGATGTCTAAATATGGATTTAGGCACCTACATAAGAGTCCTAATTTCTGTTCCATAAGTAGATGAATAGTATGAATGAGGGGAATGTTAAACACCATGTGCAGTTGTATAAACGTTGAATGAAGTCTTGGAACATCTTTCCTGGGGAAGTGGGATATACTGGGTGATTATACTAGTGTTCTTTAATGGACTATGATGATAGATTTGCTCATCATAAGAGTTGCTTCTTGGTGCCCCACGTGGCACTGATTGGTGAAGGGAAGGGAGATCTTCCCCTCCTGCTAAGAAGCCTCCTGTGCGAGGAGGTCTAGGAACAGAAGCCACTATGAGTTTCCCATTGTGGGATTTCCCCTGGGTACTTCAGCCAGGGGGATGGAATCTGTGTATGAGTGTGCCCGCACACACACATCCTTCTGCCATAAGAAGGGAGCTCAGCCACTAAACCTCCTGGAGCCACATGAATATCTGTCATCTGCTGGAGGAACAGGAACATCTCCTGGGCTCACTATCCTGCACATGCTCTCTAGCTGTGAACCTCCATTGGACCTTTGCTACCAAGGATTCCTCCATTATCCAGTGCTTCTGGGAAACCTCCCCCTACCTTACGTGGTGGGGGGAAGCTCCAGTGCACATGGTCGGGGGCTGGATGGGGCGGAGGTGGAGGCACAGAAAAGTTACCACTGCTTCAGACTCCACTAACCATTCACTGCTTGCCAAGGGGGCAGGGAGGGAAATGATGTTCATCCTGAACCCACCCCCTGGTTCCGTCCCTGATCTGCTTCCTCACCATGGATATCAGAGGCCCAAGGATGCCCCTCCATAGTGTCGTGGGGAACAGGGTTTTGGTTCCGCCGGGGTGGCTGAGTCCCCCTCCCCCTCTGTCCAAGCTGGATGAGGAAGACCTGTGCACAGAGGCATCTCTTTAAGTGTGAAGCCTGGGAGGATGGTGCCCGCTACAGTGTCTGTATGTAGTGGTCATTTATTATTATACTCATAATTGTATGGCCCATTCCGGCATTCGTTGTTTAGGCCGACCTCTCTTAGGAGTCAATAGGAATTTGCCTGGACATGGCCTGGGGAGCTCCGGGCCTTTAATTTCCCTAACTGGATCTGAGAGAGATGAACCCCACACATTTTCCTTGGCTATTTTGTTCTGTGGTCTTACAAAGGTATAAACCAAATTCATTTTATCTTTCATAGTTCAACACAACTTTCAGAAATGAGACAGACTATGAACAGACGATAATAGAGAATGTAAAGTAAGTTCAGCAGCTCGTGTGTGTGTGTGTGTGTGTGTGTGTGTGTGTGTGTGTGTGTGTGTGTGATCTCTCTCTGTGTACATAGCATAGACACAGAACGCATAGCTCACATTGCTTTCTTAGTTTGCCCCAGCTTATATACTGTCAATCCTCATTTAATCAAATGAGATGAGCAATGTGAAATGAACTCAGCTAAACGAGGTTTCAGATCAGTGGGGACTTCTTGCTTTTGGGGATGTGGCGCACTTTGGAACATACACATTTTAACATCAGAAGTTTCAGATTCATCCTGTGTGTAGGGTGAGCTGAGACAATATCCTACATACCCCTTGATGCACAGCAGAACTCCCTCTAGTAACAATGGGAGTTTCGCAAAAATATGAGAGTAGAATATGGTATTGATGTGGTACGTAAATTTTTAGGGCCAGATTCCAAGAACCTTAGTTATGCTGAGTAGCACTTTACTCCATGGGTATTCCCACTGATAATAGCCAATGGAGTAAGACAAACATGGCATAAGACCCTGTTCATCATGAATATAGGTATCAGAATCTGGCCCTTAGTAAAGTTACTATTGTATTCAGCAGCATTAAGAGGGAAAAATATTTTGGGGCACATTTAGGAGCACTCTGACTTCAGCCTTTTACTTATTTGTTCATGTACATATGCACTTAACACAATATGCAAAAATTACTTGGTAAATTGTACACCCATGTTATTTGAAAATCTGGCTCTTGAAAGTGTAATGATTAGGGTTAAGAGTGAAAACCTCATTACAACAGGGACTGGATGCCTCAAGATGTTACTAAGTAGGATAGAGCATCTTAAACCTCTTGGTTACCAGATGACATGAGATCCAGGTTGGTGCAAATAACCAGTATTCAATGAATTTGTGATCTCAGTCTAATTTCTAGTGAGCAAATGACCATTTCATAAAATCTTGTTGCAACTCATTTGGCATTCATTGGCTCACTTGTTGGCAGAGCAGAGACTAAAGAATGGGATGTGGAGACTGAATGATCTTTACCCCCTCAAGATGTTATCACTGGGTGAGAACCAAGAGGCACTGCACAGTGGTATAATGTGTCTGTGGGCAAATCTGCTCTCGCTGCCTATGATATGCCTGTTTGATTGATTACAAAAATCTGTTGTTAAAGTAAATGTGGTGTTTATGGTACTTTCTACAATTACACTAGATATTTATTTTTCAGACAAAGTTCAGCAAAATCTAAAATACAGAGTAAAGCGGAGATCAGTGGAACTAGTGTGACAGTAAGGAACATGTTTACAGTGACCACAAAATTAACCCCTGAAAATGTTACTAACCTCATAAAAGACGCAATGAAGGACAATACCAATTTCAAAATTGAAAGCTATCAAGGTAAGTACTACACTAAGAACACTGGCTGAGATTTTCCAAGACAATGAGGACAAAGCTCTTAGAAACATACCCTCCATTAATTTTAATGAGTTATGTCTAAATCCCCTAATCTACTTTGAAAACTCAACCATTCATTGTAACTTCTTGTCTTTTTGAGACACAGACAATGTTATATTTGTATTTGGGAATAGAAGAGAAATATTCATTTCCAAAATGAATCTTTTTCTAAATGTTACAGGTTATGTAGCTAATGGGAGTATTATTTTTTATTGTTTGTATTATCACAGAACCTAGTCATGGACCTGGAACCTATTGTACCAGGTGCAGGACCAACACATAATAAAAATATAGTCCCTCCCTTTAGACAGGACAAAAATAAAATAAATATGACTCCTGTGTTTCTGGCAAATGAGGAAGAAACTTCTTTATTGTCTGATTATTCATAGGGCGCTTCTTACCCCATCCTCTGAAGCATCAGGTATTGGCCACATTTAGGCAAGCATCCCTATTTAGGAAAATATTTAAGTAAATGCTTAACTTAAGCATGTGCTTAAGTGTTTTCTTGAATAGGGGTGGATTAAGCACATGCTTGAGCACTTTCCTGAACTGGGGCCACAGTGACCAGGTACCGGACTAGATGTTTCACCAGTGTAATCCAGTATGGAAATTCTTATGTTACTAAAACAACCAACACTTGCAGGAAAAATGCATTAATGCTTAGAGCTGAACATCTTTTGTTACGTTTTGCACATTCTCTACTATTTCCTGCAAAAGTATCATTAATTAAAAATAAGCAGAAGCTGGGACCAGTCAAAAAATGTTGACATTTTTCAAGGAAAAACAGGGACAAGATTTTTTTTGCTAAAATTTTCATGAAAAATGTTCACATTTTTAACCACCTCTGGCAAAAATAAATCTTGCACACCAATGCCCTGATCCTGCACTGAGCTCCATGCAAATGGAGACCTGTATCCATGCAGGATAGGAGTAGGACTTTAGGGCTCATTTGTATGGATGCCAAATCCTTTTGTCCTTAGCCAGTAAAGCGCTAATGCATATGTTTAACTTTAAGCACATGAATAATTCCATAGAGTTCAGTGCGACTACTTTTGTGCTTTATTGCCTTGCCAAACCAAGCCAGCATATTTACCCAGTAATACTATTCACATGCTTAAAGTTAAGCATGTGCTTAAGTTCTTTGCTAGATCAAGGTCAGTTCACTGAGCACCTTGCAGGATTAAGCCCATAGTTAGGAACTGAGATGAATCTTTCGTTGAAAATTTGGGAGAGGGCTCAGAGGCTGACCTAGTTTGTGACTCAATTTTGCCTGAATTACAATAGATTTGAACTCCTTGTGAGTCATGGTGGATTAAGATTGCTTTGTAAAACTGAATCTTTAAAATCTACAGCTCAGTCACTTCTATTTATAGTCAATTATTAAATAATTTAAGATGCCTAATTATCTTCTCAAGGAGATTCCTTCTGTGCACAGGGTGCCTGAGCACTAGCAGTGCGGCAAGTTTGATTTATGAAGTTTGAGTCGGACGGAATATTTTATGCTAGTCCTTTTTTATGAGGCTGTAATATTCTAAATGGAAAAATTAAACTAAGATGTACGTGGTAATTATTAGTGCCATTAACTCATTTTTCATCACTTACAGCTGTGCAAATCAAACAAAGCCATAGCTTTTGAAACCAACTTTAAACAAAATCCTGAGAGATTTATTTTCAGAGTATCATTTTGAGGTTTATTTTCCTGAATCAATTTTAAATAATATAGAAATATAAAAATTGCTATGCTAGTTCAGACAATCAAGTGAACCTAATGCAGCATGCTGTCTCTGCGTGGTCAGTACCAAATGTCTCAGAAAAAGGTAGAAGAAACTACATAGTGGAAATTACTGAATAACCCATCCAAAGGGGAAGTTTCTTCTAACCCCAATCAATTATAGATCTCCTCCCCTAGTCTGAGCTTCTATCCCAATTTCAAGTGATATATAAATTGAATACTGTATGACATATTAAATATAACCCCAGATCCTGCAAATACTTAGATGTATGCTCACCTTGACATTCATCAATAGTCTCCACTAAAGAGCAACTCCCCGTATGGAGGGCAGGGGGTGGAATGCTTTTTTTAAAAAGGGGTTAAGGGAAGAAATTTTCACAGAGCTCTTTGCTAAAGTACGGGCAGAACATCACTCTTTCTGGATGGCATTGGGGAAGGTCAGGCTGCTGGGAGGCAGATCAGGCCTGTTGTAGGCAGGGAGAGATGAGAGATCAGCACCTGTGATGGGAATGGTTCAGTTGCTGGGCAGGTCACCAATACTATAAGGGTTAATTCAAGGTGACGGGGGTATTTGTACCCTACATATACCTTAAAACTGAATTCAGAAATACTAACTATAATACATAGGTTATTAAGCAGGCACACTGCTTCGTATTAAAGGCTACCGCTAACTATAGATTTTACCTTATGATCAGTCTTTGAAATATTTAATTTTGTTTTTAGCACTTTCCCAATGTGACATTTATCAGTGTGATGAGGCAACTACTACTTGCAAGGAAAATGATGGAATAACGTGTGAATGTAAACCAGGATTTTCTAAGAAGAACCCACGAGACAAAAGCTGTTTAGGTGAGAACTTTGTGACCATTATAAGCTCTTATCATGGGTTGTGCTTTCCCCTCCCCACCTTCATTCCTTCTTGGTTGCACTGTGTCAGCACCATTGGGAAAAAAAAAGGGATTTTCTCAGGTGCTGAGTATCTGCAGCTCTGAAAATTGGGCACTGCAGCCCTGATGAAACAGTGGCCTTAAGCATGTGCTTAACTTTAATCCCAAGTAATTCCATTCCAATTTAGCAAAGCCCTTAAGCACATGAGTAATTTAAAACATATGCGTATTATGATTGAAATCACAGTATTGGCAGCACAGAGCCAGCTGAGTATTGGGTAGACAATCTACTCTCCTTGCAAACCGTTCAGGAGTCAATCCACCATGACTGCTGGGCTTGAAAGAATCTGGAGCCTGACCGTGCATACCAATGGTTTACAAATAGCAAGTCTTTGTCATTTGACAGGACCTATTGAATAAAATATTGTCTCTTACCAGCACGCCTGTGGGACTCAGTATTATTATTTTCCCTGATAGTTCGCAGATTTTCTTGGGGCCTATGGTCCTCCTCAAACTGAGATTTGCCCATTGCCTTACCACGACCCAGAGCTAGCCAGCAGTCCAGCTACCCCTAATCCTCTTTCTAGGATTCTGCTGCCCACTGGGCTTTAGGGGTGGTATTGTGACTGTGCCGCACATGACAGCATTGCCAACCCTAAGCATTCAAAAATCACGAGGGGATTTCAGAAGATAAAGAATTTGGGGTTCTTATTTGCCGTTTGGTTTTGGAGCCTTTACCAGACATTCACTTCCTGTTTTCAAGCTTTTCTCCATAATCACGAGTACTAGAAACATGCTTTATTAGCTGAGATTTCTCATATAATTAACTGATTCCAAGAGCTGAGGCTTTGGGGAAAACACCAACTTTTGCAAGACTTCATGATAAAATCACAAGAGTTGGCAAGGCTGCAGACTGGTGGGAACCAAGCAATGATACTTTTTCTTCTGTTATTGTGCCTGTATTTAAGTTTCTTTTCTGTGTGCGTATTTCTACTAAAAGATCCTTTTGTAGCCTTTAAGGACATAACACAGCACAGAGGCGAATCAGAATTCTGTGAGTTTATAAAGAGACAGGAAAAACCATGTGTGTTTTGCCACCTTCTTCTGTGTTAACTAAAAATGTAAATATTGCATATTGAAGTATTAAGCCTCTATATCAGAATATCCATTTTCAGACTTTCTTTAAAACAACTCTTTTTTTTTCCCATTGAAAATGTAGGTTGTGATAACACATGTTCTAAAGAAAATCACATGCATTGTGTTACGGATAGCAACAGTGCCCCAGTTTGCCAATGTCTTCCTAATTTCCAAAACAAAGATGGAAACTGCGTGGAGTGAGTACTCAGCTACTTCCTTTGATCTATCACGATAAGGCAACACGGTATTTAAAACAGGATGGCGTTGACAATATTGCTTTTAGAATCACAACCCTAAACTGCACAAATTAAATGACATTAAGTAAGCAACAAAGACTGAACTATAGTACTTCAAATTCATGGCAGAACTTCCATTGAGGTCCAGGGGAAGCACATGTGCTGACCAGTATAAGTCCTATGGTATTTTGCTTGGGTTTCCCTCTAGAGGTGCTTCCTCCAGGACAGGGTTGAAACTCATTACTGGAGTAGTGTGGGGAAGCTATACTACTACCCAGGCTGTACCTCTGGATAAACAGAGAACTTCCTCATTCTCTGTCAATCCAGCTGTTCCTATGACTGTTACATTCACCAGCAAAATTAATGCTGACACTAGCATAAGTTTTATTTCAAAATGGTAGCATTGGGATGAAACGTGAGGAGTTGTCGACACTCAGGTGCCCAAGGAAGACTATGACACACAAAGGCCAAGTTTTTCAGAAGTGGCTAGTGACTCTTGATTTTCATAGATGGGTGCTCAGCACATTCTGAAAATCAGCCCCTTTTAAGGTGTCTCAAGTAGGGCACTTCAAAAATGGAGACATGTCTGAAAAGCTTGGACAAAGAAATTTTAGTTTAAAAAGGAAATTGGTGTTCCTCAACTGTTTCTTCTCACCCAAATCACCACAGAGAAACTACGTAGATTTAGAGATAAGATGACAAATATGAAACCCATCAATAAGAGAAAATGGTGGTGGGTGGGAGTGTTCCATTGTTTCATGACCATCTACTGCAGGGGTCGGCAATGTTCAGTACGCGGCTCACCAGGGTAAGCACCCTGGCGAGCCGCGTGCCGAACGTTGCCGACCCCTGATCTACTGAATAGTCTGAACTCAGTTTCCATTTCTTTTACTATCGTTTAGGTGTGATGTGGGCTACTCTGGAGTAAACTGTAGCAACAGTGAGTACAAGAGTTTCTGATGTTTACTTATTGGAAAGATTTCCAGCAATGTTTTACTTGCAGAGCAGACCTTGCAATAGTAGAGTGAGCATTAGTAACATATGGAGATGCAAACACACCACGTTAACAACAACAAAAAGTTAGGAAAGGATGAGTTAAAAAGCATGAGCCCTGTAGCCATGTGGAGAGAAGCATCATAGACTTTAAGGCCAGAAGAAACCATTAGATCAGTGGTTCCCAAACTTGTTCCGCCGCTTGTGCAGGGAAAGCCCCTGGCGGGCTGGGCCGGTTTGTTTACCTGCCGCGTCCGCAGGTTCGGCCGATCGCGGCTCCCAGTGGCCGCGGTTCGCTGCTCCAGGCCAATGGGAGCTGCTGGAAGCGGCGGCCAGTACGTCCCTCAGCCCGTGCCACTTCCAGCAGCTCCCATTGGCCTGGAGCAGCGAAGGGATGATTACAGAACACAGGCTCACAACTTGCATCCAATTACGGCTACCTTTAGCCCAAAAACACGCGGGT